GGGCAGCAGAGGTAAAATCAAGGATGGTTAGAGTGTGGTCGACATAGAACCCAGTCATGTATATGTGCACACTATTTACCCCCATATAGTCTGCTGGTGGGAGAATTATGTCTAATTTCCCTGTCCAGGATTAACAGCTATATTTAAAGCCCCTGGAAGGTGGCTTCATGTTCTTCTGAATTAAGGAAAACTAGTTCAGTCTCTCTGTGAAGGTCACAGTCATGACGAGCTGGGTTTGGGTGGGAAAGAACCCTGGGCACCTTGGCTGGAGATCTTGAGACTTAGCTCTGTTCATACCTGGGAGTTTCCCCTTTCTGCTGTCTTTACTCTTTGAAGAGCTAGTGTTTACATTCCTGTTGGTAATCTAAAGGAGGTGTGTCCAAGATAGCACCCTGTACCTAGTAGAGTCTATCTGAAATGTTTACTCATAAATCTGTTCCCTGGCCATATGTTTTGCCCTGTAATTCTGTCTTGATGAGCACCAGAGCAATGTTAGTTATGTTCTCTGAGTATGAGACAGATAGTGGTCTGAGCCATTTACTTGCAACACTTTGGAGACTATGTGCCCACAAAGAACACCTTGATGTGATCCAGGAAAATTGGCCAGAGGGGTTAAAAAACAAAAACATAAAACCTAATTCAACACTGGGAATTCTTCTTACGTCAAGTACATTTTTGAAATACAGTTATTTATTATAATAGACAACAATTTGTGAGACATTTGAAACTCTCCATTCTCTTTTAATCAGCCATCACGCTCAGCTCTGACTCAGTTATTTAAGGCCTTTCCTTCTCATCATGGGTGTGCATTTAGCACATGCGCATTTTTAGGCTGTCTGTCACTCTGACACTTTCCTCTCCATCAATTCCTGTCCCACGTTTCTTTCAAAGGTCACCTTCTCCACGTACCTTTCTGAGTGTCCAGTGGCAGACCAGCTACACTTCTTGGAATTTCTCTACTTCATTGATTCTCAATTAGAAGAAATTTTGTCTCCCATTCTTACCCAAGGAACATCTGGCCATATTGGCGACATTTTTTGGGTATTAAGATTGGTCTGGAAACTGCCGGTATTTATTTCCTAGAGGCAGTGACGTGTCTTTCTGAACACAGCACTAGCTGTGTCCCTCGTGCTGAGAATCCTGGAGTCTAGCCAGACTCTAGCAATCTATCATTTGGCTGCTCATCGGACTAGAATCACCTACACTTTAAGGGTGGTAGCCCTTAGAGATCATCCTGTTGCCCCTCCAATTGTCCAGGCCACTCATCCATGAAGAGCTGTTTGGCTCAGGGTGAGTCATTGTGAGGGACTAGGAGCTAGACGGCTCTCTAACAGGCAGACAGACAGGGAAAGGGGCCACAGAAAATACAAAAAAGACATGGCAGGGCTTTTTCTTCAAAAGGCAGGGCCGCCTTTCTGGCTGATCACTCTAGGCTGGCCAGACTCTGTTCAAAGCCTGTCCTGAATGTGTTTACCTGAAGTTGTGGGCCTGCCAGCTTCCCTTTCTTTGTTTAAACTGTCCAAACCAAAATTAGAGGAGAGGGTCCCATTCCAGGGCACCAGAAACACTTAAAACCCCAGCCCTGTGGGGCGGGGGTGGGGGTGTAGGAGGTAGGATGTGTATCTTGGTCTCTCTGCTTTGCAGGGAGTTTTTCTCTGTGTGCTTAGTTCTCTCTCTCTCTCTCTCTCTCTCTCTCTCTCTCTCTCTCTCTCTCTCTCTCTCTCTCTCTGTCTCTCTCTTCTGTTGTGACCTGTTATGTCTAGGATTCTTCCTGCCCTTTTATTCTTTAATCAACAGAGAAAATAAACCCAATGAAGAAAGCCTTCCTAGCGAGGCTCCCTCTTGTGACCCTAGCTAGGGTCCTCGACCTTTTCTGTTTCACCATTTGGTTGTCTTCTTTCTCCAGCTAAGTTAGAAATCTCGGTGTAAGCAATGCTAGGATCTTTTATTAACTTGCAGTAATCCTGTCCCTTAGTCTCCCACTCTTGGCATATGCAGTGCATATTTGTTGTTATTTTTAAAAATGCCGTTTTACTCCTTTTCAGTTCCAGTTGTTAAAAAATAAATTGTAAAGTTATTTCTTAGATATAACCGATCGTAAGGATGAATGACTACTTCTAAATAAAGACAGAATTCTAGTGAGTATGTTCAGTGTTAATTAGAGTAAACACCAGTCACCAGAGACTCAGCAATTACAGGATGGTGATGAAAATGACCATTTTTGCAGTGGAGAGGAAAACAGGAAGGGTTTACACTAAGGAGAATGATTAACCAAATTCTCACAGAGAAACTAAAGCAAAACAAAACACCAGAAAGGACGGCACATTGTATAAGGTTTTCAAATTCATGCACTCGGATATATGACCCATTCCCACAATTACATCAATTCTTTTTGGAAAAAAAATTGTAAGCAATTGTGCTGGCTAGTTTTATGCCACTTTGACAAAGCTATAGTCATGGGAGAGGAGGGAACCTCAATTAAGAAAATGCCTCCTTAAGAAAATGCTTGTCTGATTTCGAGTGGCTGCACACCCTTTTGCAGAAGCAAATCTTTTTTACCTTGCCAAAATACTTGGGATCCCAGACACATTTGTAACAGTTAGCTCTGTATTTTCAATGTGCATTGGGTCCAGCAAATGACATAGCTGGTTTGGCTATGTTGATAATTTATAGTTTAATTTCTAAGTGGGGATTGTCTCCCTTAATAGTTAGCTATCCATATGAGTGTTTGTTCTCTTGCTTATTTTTTAGGGTTACTATTGATGTAACACCATGACAAAAACAACTTGGGGAGAGTCTTAGTTAGGGTTTTTATTGCTCTGACGTGACACCATGACCACAGCAACTCTTATAAAGGAAAACATTAAATTGGGGATGGCTTACAGTTCAGGTTTAGTCTATTATCATCATCGTTGTGGGAAGCATGGTAGCATGTAGGCAGACATGGTAATAGAGAGGTAGCTGAGAGATATCTGATCTTCATGCAGTAGGAAAAGACAAGGAACCACTAGGCCCAGCTTGAGCTTCTGAAGCCTCGAAGCCCACCCCACAGGGACACACTTCCTCCAACAAGGCCACACCTACTCCAATAAGGCCAAGCCTCCTAATAGTGTCACTCCCTAGTGAGCAAGCATTCAAAGAATGGAGCCATTCCTCTTTAAATGACCACGGGAATAAAGGATTTGTTAGACTTCACTTCCACAGTGCTGCTCATCATTGGAGGAAGTCAGGCCAGGAACTCAGCTTGGACAGAAACCTGGAGGCAGGAGATGATGGAGAGGCCATGGAAGGGCACTGCTTACTGACGTGCTCCTCATGGCTTCTCAGTCTGCTTTCTTGTAGAACCCAGGAACGCCAGCCAGGGGTAGCCCTGCCCACAAAGGACTGGGACCTCCCCCAACAATCACTAATGAAGAAAAATGTCCTACAGCTAGATCTTATGGAGGCATTCTCTCACTGAGGCTCTTAGATGACTCTAGCTTATGTCTAGCTGACATGAAACTAGTCAGCACAATGTCTTTCCTTTGCATTCATCTCAAGTTTTCCCGTTGACATGCAAGTAGAAAAGGCCTTCTTCTAAGTCTCCCAGACTACAGGATGTGCCATAAACTGGTCACAGGACCCAGAGTGCCTGCCTTTGGCTTCAAAGGGCAGGGTCTCCAACCTTCAGCCTCAGCCACTGTCCCTGGTAATTCTCACATCAGTGCTGTTTGTTACCGACAAGCAGAACACAGGGAGGATGTAGAGAAATAACCCTCCCTTGACACTCAAGCCTTCAGTCAGTCAGCTTACAGAAGAGGCTGAAGAACCGGCCTGCATCGAGTCCTTTGCTTTAGGTCAGGGCTTGCTAAACTCAATCAGTCAAGTCTAGGCCTTAAGGACCTTGTTGTGTCGACAGCTGGTGGGGGCGCACACCTTTAATCCCAGCACTTGGGAGACAGAGGTAGGTGGATCTCTGTGAGTTCCAGGCCAGCCTGGTCTACAGAGTGAGTTCCAGGACAGCTTCCAAAACAATACAGAGAAACCCTGTCTCAAAAAACAAAAAGCAAACAAAAGGACCTTGTTGTGGAGTCTCCAAGGGTTAGTTAAGACGTAGCTGTTAAGAAAAAGGCCCATTCTCCTTTAAAAACTACTTCTGACCTCTTAGAGCATGCTGTCCTCCAGCCAGGTGTTGAGGTTACTGGGGTGAGCAAACACCGGAGTTAATTACAGTAAGTGACTGAAACATTGGCTCACTTCCTGGCCCGTGAAATGGGGATAACACTTGCTTTACAGAGCTGATGTGAGGATATAAAGACCTAAGAAGTGACTGGATAACTTGAAGAGCTGTTTCAGGTGAGTGTTTCCAAGAGGCAATGTAGGCTTATGATTAAAACAAATGCAATTCAACACAAGCAACCAAACAAACAAAAGCCCTCTAAGTTATTCCTGGAAGTGTGTGGAGAAATGTTCCTCCACAGAAGCATCTTAGACATAAGCAGCGATGGGAACAATTGCAAGTTTTTCATCTTTCCCTCTTAATTTTCAAATAGCCAAACATGACTTTGAAAAGGCATTCCTTCCTAGACCACTAAACCGGGTAAATTAACTGGCCAGAGACTCTAATAGAGAAGAAAATACATCGTGCCATTCCACTAACGGCTCCGTCTGGGGTCTATCCTGGGCTTCCTGGGCCAAATTTAGTCTTCCGCTTCCCACTGCTAGTCCCAGGAACCAGGAGGAGGATCAAGGCGCCCGAGGCTCCCGCGCTACCCCGCCACCTTACTGGGCACGCTTTCAAAAGGAAGCCCGGTCAACCAGAGGAGGCGGAGCGGGGCAGCGGAGGGCGGGACTTGGGGCGGGGCCACGGCTTCCCCGTGCGGCTGACGCGTTCTAAGGGTTCCGCGGGGAAGTGGGAGTGACAGGGAGAGGCGCGGGGGCGGGGTCATGCATGGGGGGTGGGGCCAGGCCTCTTGGGATCCGGGCGCGGCGGGCGGAGGCGGGGCTTCCGTGTGGTGGGCGGGGCCTCGGCGGGTCCCGGCTGGGCGGGTAGGGGCTAGATGAGGCCGAGCTCTGCCGCTCAATCTGCGGGACGCCTCTGGAGCTTCTCCATCTTCCTGGACAGGGACGCGGCGGCCCGGGAGAGGAGGGCGCAGGGACGCGGCGATGGCTCCGTGGGGACTCCCGGGGTCCGCTGTGCTCGCTGCTGCGGTGTTCGTGGGAGGCGCCGTGAGTTCGCCGCTAGTGGCCCCGGGTGAGTGCGTGGTCCGGGCGGGCGGGGGCGCCAGGTGCTGAGTCGGATCTGGGAGCGATGGGCACGGCGGGTCGGGACGGGTCGACCCCGCAGCCCCGCCGCGCCCTGAGTTGCGCGCGCCCTGCTCGGCTACCGGATCCGGCTCTGAACATCTGGGTGTCCCGGGGTGGCCCGGGCAGGGTGCGGCGCTCGGCGCGGCTCGGGTCCCTCCCACCCTCCTGCCGTGCTCCCGCCTTCCCTTCCTTGCCTCTTCTGAGGACCGCGGGGCCCCTACCCGGACCCTTAAGAGTGTCGCCTTGCTGGGGCGCCTTCTCCCCAGCCGCGTGCTCTAGGGGCCGGTCGGCGGACCCCTTACTGCCGTCCCGGTCTCAAAGGCCTCGCCAGGCGAAGATCTTGAGACCCGGGACCGGGTGCTGCTCTACAGCTTCTTTCCTCGCTCTCCCATTTTTTTTTTTTCTTTTTCATTATATTGAAGCCTAGAAAGTTCCAGTCTTTGCAGGTGGTTATGGATTCTTGTAGTAACTCAGTAATTTCGCACTCCTTCCCATATACGCTGGATAAATTAGGTAGGGAAAGAGGAAGGGCACATCTGTAATGTACACTGCTTTCTCTTTGTATCAAGTCCTGTCATCACAAAAGGAACCCTCTGAGGTCAGGGTGGAAGCCACCAGCGGAGACTGACACGAAGTGTTGTCCTCATCAGCGGGAGGGAGTTTCTAACTGAAATATCTTCTTAAGAAAGCTCCATCTCACATTCCTGTTTTTATAAGACACACACCAGGGATTCCCAATCATTGTTTCCCCCTCTTAATTGCGACTTAACTGCAGTAGTTAAAAAAAAAAAAGATTAAGCCTTCCTGGCCATTTGGGGTTACCACAGACTGATTCTTACGTCAGCAGGCTCTGCCAAGCTGCCTTCAGGGGTGGCTCCTCTTCAGGCCCAAATAATAAGCAGCTGGAAGGATTCCAACAGCGACTGTCTCCTTTATAAAATACACACACTGCTCTTCAGTCCTGAGCATTCCAGGCACTTAGAGCTTTGCAACTGGCTTATCACTTGGCCTTTGCTTTTTCATCGGAATCGGAACGTGCTAGAAAAGGGGACAGGATAGATATATGTCTCTTGAGTATTGATTAGCAGATTCACATTTCCTTCAGCCATCCACCCAGGGGAAAGGGAAGCTAGTGACGAGTTTCATTGGATGCGAGATTTTTGTGTGCATCCTGTGTTTACAAGCTGGGGCTTGTAAATACTAAATAGGTTCAAAGTAGACTGGAAGCTGCAGGTAGTATCCGGCTGTAATCACTTGTTGCAGAGTTAGAAAAAAAAAAGCTTAACCTGGGAGTCAGATTGTTACAATATAGTTCAGGAGGCTTGTAATCAGCCTTCACCAGGAGATACCCTTTCCTAGAGTAGGTTTATGCTTGGGTGTCAGGCCTGCAATGGGATTGAAGAAGGCCTTACCTAATTGTGTTACTAGTAACCTTTCTGTTGAAAGTTAATGCTTGAGAGGAGTGAAGTATCTGAGATGGAAAGGTTGCAGGTTCAAATTTGCTAGCAGGCTTTGGGGCTGTGTCAAGAGAGGAGCTTGGAACAGCTGGCATCTAAGTCAAAGCTGAGTAGGAAGAAAGAGATGGGAACTCATACAGACAGCCTGCTGTGTGCTTTGGTTGGGCACTTTATGTGTATTTTAGAACTTATTCTTCATAACCCAAGATGTATTTATTTTCAGTAGAGCAGCTGAGGCCTGTCATCACATAGGCACTGTATCAGTAAGCATTGGATAAGTAGTGCATGTGAGTGTGTGTGTGTGTGTGAGTGTGTGTGTGATAACATAGCCTACTTGATTTTAAACTCATTTTCTTTCCATTGTCCTCCACTGCTTCCCAGAGAAGTTAGAGCATAAGTCACCCTCAGCAACATGACTTAGATTATTGTAAAATAGTTTTAAGATAGCCAAACATTATAGCATGAACATGCAGCTATGTGCAGTCGTGCAGTGGAGAAAGGACAGATAGCTTCACAGAGGGTGGCGACGGTCTCTCTCACTTCCTTTATTGTAGACGGCCTAAAAAGTGGCATTACGAACACCAGAGATGCTTTTCTGAGCATGTCTTGCCTTATTCATGTACTTAAGTTCTCTGGTTACTCAGCCTCTGGCCTTACTCATTTCTCACTTTTCCTATCAGACCGTGGGCTCAGCCCTTGAGTGGAGAGCTGGGTGAAACGGTCCGGGGCTGGTGCTGTGAGAGATGCCTGGGCCCTGGGCTCTGTGGGCGTCCATTCAGCCTCTCTCGGATTCCTCATTAGATTCTGAAGATACGTTTGATTAAATTCTGGGTTCTCCTTTGGCTAGGTAGCAGCGTAACTGAATATCCACGTGAGACACAGACACTGGGTGCAGTGTTTTGGAAAAAGAAATTACTGTTTGGAGCTTGGGATTTCAGGCTTACTCCAAATTTCAAGAGGAAATGAAAAATGTTACGAGTGGCTGTTATTTCTTTTCCTTCTCTGTATTTCCTAGCCCTTCAGAAAAGGACAGACAGACTTTGGGAGGATTTGAATGTGAGACACCACCATCCAGGTGATTCAGACATAAAACTTTCGTTTTTACTTCTTTAAAGACTGGTTTGGCTTTGATATTGAAGTCTTATTACATGTTGTGCCATTTTAATTACATTATTTAAAAATGACACACATTAACAAATGATATTTTTGAAAAATCTTGTAAGTTGGAAGGACTAAAATTGAAACTTGGCATCAGTGCACTGTGACTTCTGGGCTTTGGATGGAGCTCAGTGGTAGAGTACCTGCCTGCCTGTAATGTCAGGAGTCCTGGGTTCAATCCCCAGCTCTACACAAGGACACACACACACACACACACACACACACACACACACACACACACAGAGAAATGAAAAAAAATAATCTAAATTATCCTTAGTGTTGGTTGTCCAGTAATCTTTGTGTTTGTGTGGTAAAGATTTTAAAGTTTTATTTTTTATTTACATGTAAATGACATGGATACAATTTTGGCCTTTACTCTAGGAACTATAGTATATATCATTCATATGTTACATTTCACTTAGATTTGATACTGTACAATCTTAATGTATGTAAATGTCATACACAACAAGGGGTTGGTAAAGTTTTTGGAGATGCTAAGCCAAGATAGTAAAAAATCTGGTGTAAGAAGGCTGGGCATGGTGGCACTAGCCTGTAATCCTAGCACTCTGGAGGCAAAAGGAGGCTGATCTCTGAATTTGAGGTCAGCCTAGTTTAAGTAGTGAGTTTCAGGACAGCCAGGGCTATATAGTGAGGCCTTGTCTTAACAAATAAACAAAAGAACAAAAATGTCTGGTGTAACACTGAAGGACTAAAATTGAAAGTTGGCCTTGGTGCATTGTGGTTTCTTTACCATGTTGGGAAGGGGCTTCAGTGTTTATTATTGCCTGTTTGATGGCAGGCGGTGGGCTTTGGACTCAGGTCATTTAATCCGTGGAATTCCATAAGACTGATTTTCTTCCCATGTTCTGGCTGGAGAAGTGGAGAATCTGAGAGGTTGGGAAGTCACTTGGTTTTTACCTGGGCTTTGCCACTCTGTCCTACTGTTCAGTTCTTGAGTGCATTCTAAACCTTCCTCCCCCCTTCTCTTTCTCTTTAAAAAGAAAATTCTTTCCATCCTGAAATGTTTATGGAGAGTCACAGGAGGGTGACTCCCTCTGCAGTGTCCTAGGTAGTTTTGAAAAGTCCCTCCCACAGATTGTGTGGGAAGAGGGAGAGGATTAGCCTGATCTCCTACCTAGAGGCCCATGCCCCAGGTAGGGTTCTATTCTTGTCTAGTGCATCTTGACCTTGATCTTAATGCAAAGCAGTTAGTCAGCTCAGGCCCCTTTGCCTTTGTTATATACGGTCTCCTTCTCTGATACCCTGGAAAGGTGTCCCGCAGTGTTCCATCATGCCACTTCCCTGTGCTTTACAAACTCTCCGTGCCTCCTTCAGGCACGGAGTTAGTAGTAATTGTTTTAAAATGATTTGAAACTTGGTTGTTTCAGGGAGCACCTTTGTCCACAGGCTTGGTCTAACAGTTGATAACTTGCATAGAAAATGGGTTCTTGGGAAAGCAGCTTGCAGGTCAATGATGTCCAGCATTGTTAGGCTATTGATCACTGCACTGTTGGTCTGAAGGTTGGCCTGGTTTGTACTTTTATAGCAGTGGTATGAATTACTCATCTCTCACTCTTAGTATTTCTTTTCCCCTGAAAATAAAAAAGTACATGCTGATTTGTTACTCAAGTGTTGGTACCTTATTTAATTTGTTATAATCTTTAGCTTTTAAAAGATTGGCTATTTTTCTAATATTCTTTATCAGGTTGTTCTGTCTGCGCCCCTCCCCCCCAACTAAGTATCAGAGGCATTTATACATTGCTGTAATCTTTTCCTGAGATTTTTTCAAATGCAAAATGCTTTGAAAATTGAGGACTTTTGATCTTTTCTGGTGGTAAAACACAGCCTGCCCCAGCGTGAGATGTTCAAGTGTATGTTTGATCCCACATAGGTTGAATAGCCATATGCTTTGCTGCAGTAATCCGACACATTTGATTTCTGGACATGACACAGTGTACATTGAATGCACTCTGCTGCCTTTCTGGAATCACCCATTTGCCTCTAGGTTTTCAGTTAAAGGATTCAAGGCCCTGCATTTGCTTTTCCTGATTCATCTGTTCATGTTTTCTCACATCTTTTGGGAGCCAAGGGTAAGTATCCCATTCAAATATCTAAAACATCCCATGGAGAACTAGCAGGGATTCTGCAGTGGCTGGAGAGAAGTGGCGGTTAACAGTGGTGATGGTTCTTTTTTTTTTTTTTTTTTTTGGTTTTACGAGACAGGGTTTCTCTGTATTGTTTTGGAGGCTGTTGGTCCAGCCCGGCCTCGAACTTGCAGAGATCCACCTGCATCTGCTGGGATTAAAGGCGTGCGCCACCACCGCCTGGCGGT